CTCATCCTCATCGTCATCGTCATCGTCGTCATCATCATCATCATCACCACCACCAACACCACCACCGCCACCAACACCACCACCACCACCATCATCATCATCATCATCAGCAGCAGCATCAGCATCATCAGCATCAGCATCAGCATCAGCATCAGCATCATCATCATCATCATCATCATCATCATCATCATCATCATCATCATCATCATCATCATCATCATCATCATCATCATCATCATCATCATCATCATCATCATCATCATCACCATCACCATCACCATCACCATCACCATCAGCAGCATCGTCGTCATCATCATCATCAGCAGCAGCTGCATCAGCATCATCATCGTCAGCTCCGAGTGGTGCTTCCAGCGATCGTTCCATCCTCCTTCTGGGGCCGCGCGAGCGGTGCGATCGCCACCGCTTCCCCCGCGGGCGGGGGGGGGGCGGCGGGCAGCGACCGCCACGCGTCAGAGGATGAAAGCCCAGCCTCCGTGCTCGGGCCGGGACAAGCGCAGGACGGCCGCACGGCCGCTCCAGCCGAAGCCCTTCGCGCTGTGGGCGCCCTCCTTCCTCCTCCGCCCTCTGCGGCCGCGCTCCACCCAGGTCGGCTACACGCAAGAGTGACCCTGGGCAAGAGTGACCCTGGACTTTGGTGTGCGGCTTTTTGGGGGCCGCGGGGGGGGGGCAAACACAAGCGCGCAAGACGCTACTATCGCATCGCGTTCGGCGATCGAGACCCCACTGGGCCAGCACCAGAGGTCACTCCGGCGAAAGGTCACTCTTACGTGTAGTCGACCAGGTCCCCCCTCTGCGCCGCCGGGCAACTGGTGTCTGCCATTGCCTGGCGCACTAGAGTTAGGTCGGGCGTGTCCTCCTACAGACTGACTTTGGACGAACAAGAACCGAGTTGTAAAAACATGTTCAAAGATAGTCAAAAAGAGGCAAAAAATCATCCCCCGGACTCTATTCCTTCAATTTTCGAACATTCCTCCTGTAGAGGGACACGCCGACTCAACACTCGTGCGCGCGTGCGGACTGCCTCTGCCGCGAAGTCTCCGGCCCCGCGTGGATCCTTCCGCCGCGAGCGGCCGCGGCTGGCCGGTGCAGCGCGGAGCGCTCGACGCCGGCCAGCTCCGGACCACTGGCGGCGCTCCGCCTAGAGCGCCCGCGCCGGAGCCGCCGCCACATGGGCACGGCAGGAGCCGGCCGTTGCCACAGGCGCACGGGCATGCAGTCGGGCCCAGGACAGGGGAGCATCCCTCAAGGGCATCTCCGCCGGCCAAAGCACACAGAGCACCCGAGGGTACCCTCCCCAGGATGATGCGCAAGAGAGCACCCCACAGGCACGAAGAGCATGAGGGCACCCTCCCCGAACCGACCTCGATCTTATTCCTCGGCCCGACCGTAAAGGACGCTCTCCGCGTCGGCGATGCTCGAAGGGGCCTTCTGGGGGCCCCAGGTGAAATCGACGATGGGCGCGTTCCACCGACAACCCTGACCGCGGCATTCGGGGATCTTCTGACCAGGGCCAATCCAAGCCCGGGTCAGTCAGGCCTTGCAGGATCCTGCACCCAGACCTGGCTCAGTGCAGCCCTGGCCCTGCAGGATCCTGCAGGATCAAGCGTTCTGGCTGACCCCCCGTCTCTGGAGGACTTCGGGATTCCCGTTCGTCCCGAGCCGGCCGAGATTTCGGCGAGCTGGCGCCGCGACAAGCTCTCGGCGGGCCGCGCGGGCGCCTTGTGGGTCGGCGCCGACCCCCCCCCATGCCTCCCCCGCGCCTCTTTGAGCGCTGAGCGCGCAGGAGGGGGGCCGTGTGGGGCGAGGTGGCCCTGGCGCCGACCCACGAGCTCCGCGCGGGCCTGCGAGGGGAGGTCTGCTCTGTGTTGCAGCCCAGACCAATCCACCAGCAGCCCATCGCAAGAGACGCAAGCCCTGAAAGTCGCCGACGTTTCTCCTGGGCCAGGGTTGGGCCTCTTGCCCAGCGGCGGCCAGCAAGGAAACTCAGGGCACCCCTGGACCAGGCGGTTTGCTGATGGCTCGCGCAGAGCCTCTCCGCGTCAAATGAATCAGGGTGCCCTGCCAACTGCGGTTTCTTCGCGACCGCTGCAAGCCTTCCATGCGAACGCAAGCCCAAGAGGCCCAGGGCACCCGGGCAGAACGAAGGGGGCTCCTTGGCATGGGCTCCCTCTGTTATGCGGCTCGTGGCGACTCCCACCCTGGCCGCGAGGCCCGCCAGAAGTGAGGCGGACGAGGCGCGGGGGGACTTAAAGGCGGCCGCGGGGTCTGAGCCGGATGGGCCCTAAGAGACCTCGGCCAGGAAGAAGGGGAGCGGAGCCGAATCCGATCAAAACCGATCCCCGGACCACTCCCGTTTGGACGCCCGACATGGGCACGGAAACAATGGGCACAATGCCCAACAGCAAATGTTGTCCCGAAATGTCAGCGGCCGCTGGTTGGCAGGCGGGCTTCTGTCTCAAAGGGGCACGATCCGCGGCGACGCCGACAGCGAATCCTGTTCAAAATGAACAAGAACTGCTGTCGGTCTTTTGTACCCATTCTTTCCGTACCCATGTCGGTCGTTCCGATCCCGGGGCCCATCTGGTGGAGATGCTCACCCCGGATCCGTTCTCTTGACCGCCCCGGGGCCCGAAACGCGGCCCCCATGGAGGCCGGAAAAGGCAAGGGAAGCGATCGGACCCGCAACATCGCACTGCTGGCGGGAAGCAGTGCTGGGCCATCCCGGACCCCCAGCCGGCTTCAAGGGGAGGGAGCCAGACGTCTGGCGACCCGAAGAAATCGCGCCAGAGACTCTTCGATATCTTCGGCGTCCAGGGGGCGCTCTCCGAGCTCTGGGGCCGCAACAGGCGGTGGTCACGAGGAGGGGCCGGTCCCCGACGGAGGGGTCGAGAGCTCCAGGCGCTGCCCACTCGAAAGATCGGGGCGCACGCCGACATGGGCTGCGGGTGGAGGCCAGTCCACAAGAGACCTTCCACAAGAAACCCAACCCTGAGACCCCAGGACGTCCATGCATTTCTGGTGCGGGGACGTCACGCTGTCCATCGCAAAACCATCGAAACCCAAGAGACCCAGGGCACCCTGGAGGCAAGCAGGGTGTTTCTTGGCATGGGTCTCCACTGTAGAGATCCGTGGATCTGGCGCCTGGGCGCCACATCGACGGAACGGGGAAGATTCAGGTCGGGCATGTCCTCCTGCAGGCGGATTTTGGACGAAAGATACAACAAAATAGTCACCGAAGATTCCAAAATAGTCTAAAACAGCCGACACATCATCCCCAGGCTATGTTTGGACTGTTCCTGAGTATCCCTCCTGTAGAGGGACCTGCCCGGCCTGAGGGAAGGTACACCCCGACACATGGGGTCAGCGCCGCCTCGTGCGGCGACGGGGCGCAGCGAGGTTGCGCAAAAGCGGGGCCCGTCGCTCCTCCAGGCATCTGGCTCCAAAATGTTCGCCTCCTCGGCGTGCGGGCTCCCCCGACGTGATGTCTTGAGGCCGCGGCCCCGAACTCCCGGCCCCGGCCCCGCGGGTGCTCCTGCGTCCCCAGCCCCTGTTTGACAGCCCTGGGGCTCGAGGAGGAGCCTCGGGGGCCGACATCGGGCAAGCGCGCTCGGATCGAAGCCAACATGCCCCTCCTCCTCCTCCTCCTCCTCCTCCTCCTCCTCCTCCTCCTCCTCCTCCTCCTCCTCCTCCTCCTCCTCCTCCCTCCTCCTCCTCCTCCTCCTCCTCCTCCTCCTCCTCCTCCTCCTTCTCCTCCTCTGAGTCTCGTCCGCGGGTAGGGGAACCCAAAGTGGCCCGCGCACAGGACGGTCGGCGCGGATCTCTACGCGGCTGAAAACCAGCCCTGCTCTCACCCTTGGCGGGGCGGCCCGTCCGCGAGCGCCCCGCCCCCCCCCCCCCCCCCCGAGCGCCTTGGGGCCCATGGTGTGGGGAGGACAGCCGCAGCTTCATCGCCTTCAGCGAGCACTTCGGGGCGTTCAGGAGCGCCTGCGGCAGGGACGGCCCCCCCCCCCCAGCCCCTCCAATAGGAAGGCACCAACTATACACCAACACCGATCCTGGCCAGGATCACCCTGGGCCCAGGATCGGTGTATACCCTCCTGCCTTGGGCAAGAAGGCATATACACCGATCCTGGGCCCAGGGTGATCCTGGGCCAGGATCGGTGTTGGTGTATAGTTGATGCCCTCCGATCCAAGGCGGCGCGGCCCCAGGCGGGCCACCGCGGCGGGGTACGGGCCGCGGCCCAGGAGGATCCGTGGGCTGGCGGCCGGGCAGCTCCAGAAGCATTACCCCTTCGGGTCGGGAGGGCCTTACCCGGGCACGCGCCAACATGGACTTCGGATCCGCGGACCTGCCGCGTGGGCACCACATCCAGATCCAGAAGGAGTGTGTTGCCGACGGCAGGTCTGCGAAGGCTGCAGTAACAACAGATCCCGCGCGTCCGACTATCTTGTCCACCGATAACAAGTCACATGAGCTTGCCTCGTGTGGTATCATAATAAGCCCCCTTGAAATCCCCCTACCCCGCCCCCTCCGGAGCCAAGCCCCATCCACAGACTAACGATACCCCTTCTGTACGAGACCGATGTTGCATCACAGCAGCAATTCGGCCCCTGACGTTCGTCCTGGGTTCGGTTTAGTGAAGTGATGAATTTCGGGGTCCTTACGTGGGAAAAAACATCACTTCACTAATCTGGGGCCCCTGGGGTCTCAGTGGGCCCTGGGGCCCAAAATTAGTTAAGTGATGGTTTTCGGGCCTCGGATTCTGGAGCTCAAAAGAGCCTGTCTACTCACCATTCGCGACGACTGGCGTGATCGGCGGGGGAGAGGGGGCGGAGCTCGTCCCCCGCTATATACCACCACGGCGGGCGGCCGCCCCGGGAGCACCGAGAAGCGGCCCCCGTGCGCGCCGCCAAGGCCTGCGAGCACGACAGCGCGCCAGAAAGCACCACACTGACCACAAGACGGCGCACGCATGAGAGCAGAGCAACGTGCCTGCGAGGTGAACGGAGGCCGACCAATCAACCGGAGACTCGTCGCCGCCGGCCTCCGGGGGGGCTCTAGAAACCTCCGGAGGCCTCCGGGAGCCCTGCGGCCCCCCTGAATGCCCCAATCCAAAACCGCCGACAAGAAAATGTGCAAAAATATGCACTTCCCCTCCTCCTCCTCCTCTTCCTCCTCCTCCTCTTCCTCCTCCTCCTCCTCCTCCTCCTCCTCCCCTCCTCCTCATCATTCATCATCTCATCATCATCATCATCATCATCATTCCATCACATCATCATCATCATCACCATCATCATCATCATCATCATCATCATCATCATCATCATCATCATCATCATCATCATCATCATCATCATCATCATCATCATCATCATCATCATCATCATCATCATCATCATCATCATCATCATCATCATTTCTCCTCCCTTTTCCTCCTCGCTCCTCCCTCGTCCCCTTCCTCTCTCCCCCCCGCTCCTGCCCCAAGAGAGCGTGGTCCTTCCTCCAGAGAGGCTCCAGGAGTTTTTCGAAAAAGGCGCTTGTTCTCGCGTCTTTGGCCTCCTGGACGCGGACAACAGCGACAACGACGAAGTCCTGGGAACCCTTTGGAACCCTTAAGAAATCCTCGCAAACGTGGGCAAAATAGCGTGACGTGATCCGGGGGGGGCCAGGGAGAGGGCCGATACCGCGGCCGTTATCGCACAGGCCTTTAAAACAAATCCCGCCAAAAAACGGCTCCAAGCATATAGAGATACCAACGGAAAATCAATGAGTTTGACTCCTTGGGCTTCCTGAAAGCCGAAGAGGGCCTCGAGACGGCTGCGGAGGGGCTCAAGATGGCCCAGGATGGCTCCAAGACGGCCCACGATGGCCCCAACGCGGCCCAAGATGGCCCCGAAGATGGCCCAAAAGGCCCTCAAGACGGCTCGAGAGGGCTCCAAGAGGACCCCCAAGAGGGCCTCCATGCACAAGAAGCATCGACTTTCGTCAATCCTGAAACACCGTGTAGCCGTCTCGCCTCCTCAGGTTTCGGACACCCCAAGACAGCTGCAAAGGCCTCCAAGATGGCCCCAAGACGGCCCAAGAAGCTCCCAAGAGGGCCCCAACACAGCGCAAGAGGGCCCCACGGTGGCCCGAGAGGCCCCCAAGAAAGCCCCCTATACGGCCCAAGTGGACCCCAAGACGACGTAAGAAACCTCCAAGACGGGCCCTGGAGTCCGCAAGACGGCCCAGAGAGGTCGCCAAGTTGGCCTCCGAAGGCGCCAGATGGCCCAAGAGCGCCAGAAGACGGCCGCACATACTCGACACATTCCGGACGTGCACCCCGCGAAGCGAAAGGAATCCACAGATCGGGGGGAAAGCACTCCCCGAAGCATGGGCCCGATGCCGCCTGAGATGGTGACGGAGCGCGCCGATTTTGAATGGGAGCGGAACCCGTCGCTAATCCACGCGTCGTAATCCATGCTTGCGCCCCCCCCCTGCGCAGTCGCACGGCCCCCCTTCTGAAGCCACCGACAACTCTAGGCAAGCCCAGCCGATGGAATCACACTGGAGACGCCCCGAGCGATTAGCCGGCCCGCTGTTCTGCACACTGCCTGGTACATGGCCCAGTTGTAGTGAGCTTTGACCTTGATGATCTCGCCCTCGGTCACACCTACCACGTGGCCATCGATCTCGAAGGACACGATGGCACCGAGCATGTCGTTGACTGGCGCGCGGGGGGGTGGGCTGAACGGAGCGCTCGAGACTGATATACTAGATGCTTCTGACTGCAGTTAACCCAAGGAGGAAAGCCAGGAGGGCGTGTGAGACAGGGCCAGAGGGAAGTGAGCACCAACTAACCCCAGGCGCTGTCGTTTACACAAAGAGGAGGGAGTCGCCTGCAGACTCGATCTCGACGCTCTTTGCCACGAGCATGTCGGTGGTCTCTCGGACGTGCTTTTCTTGCATCTCAACGAACATATCTAGTGAGACTCTCTCCTCATCCCGAGGAAGGTCTACAAGAAGCACGTTCGCGACCATCTTCAAGTTTGCTTCTATTCTGTTCTCTATCAAATCGTTGACCATTACAACCAACTGCTCCAGCCGGTCAAGCTCTCGCCACACATCTTGCAGGTATACGTCTATGTTGAGAGATGTCCACGACAGGTTCAACATGCCTGGTCGCATTCTGTAGTCCAGAGTTTCGATATGGGGCCGCAGCAGATTAGCAGTGATGGGCCTGATCGACTGCATGACACGGCCGACCTCCCTGATGAAGTGCGACAGCTCATGGCTGCACGTTTTGAACTTGTGCTCCTGGAGAAGCATCATTCTCGCGCTTTCTGGAATCTCTACCCCGCCCATGCGATCAAGGCACCTCGTTTCGCGGATGAGCTGCAGAATCTCCCAGTCGAAATTGACGTGGTACTTCATGTTGTCGTCCGGACTTTTCACGATGAGTGTCGCTTGCAGACCTGACTTCACGGCCTCAATGGAATTGACCCACGCCTGATACCACAGGGTCTCGAATTCGATGAGCGTTTTGGCCATCTTATTGTACATGCGGATCAGCTTTTTGGAGTCCTTCCCAGCAAGCACCTGACCACCCCGGGGTCGCGCGCTGTCGTCAAAGCCCAAGTTCGTTCACGGGGACTGACGGGGAATGATCTATGTGCCCTCTCTACAATGGCCCCACCCGTTGAGGAAAACAAAAAAAAAATGTGCAAGCCGCCAAGGGCCACTCGGAAGAGCTCGCGCTTGCCCGGACGCTGGCTGGCTCAACGGGCCGACGAGGATCCAGATCTCAGAAGACGGCGCCGCAACACGCACGACAGCTCGACCCTTGTTCACCATGGCTGAGACTAGCACAGAAACGAGGACATAAACATAGGAGGTCCGCGCGGACTTCTTGGATCGGCGCTGGACAGCCCTCTCTAGCGCGCGGAGCGCGCCAGTGGCGGCGCCGGAGGCGCCGTCCAAGGGGGGGAGAGGGGGGCGCAGCGACGACTCAAGAAGTCCGCACAGACCTCCCAAAGCTTACGCTTGTGCCGATGCTCCGTCTGCTTCTTCTGCTTCTTCCACTTCTTAGCCCCCAAACACCAATCAGCGCTGGCGCTTAGAGGGGGCCACATGTGCACCCTGCCCCTACCCCACACGATTCCCGAGGGGGAGGGAGGGGTTCTCGGGAGCTCCCGAGCGAAGTGAACCCCACACTTCCCGCAGAAATCGTGGGGGGTAGGGGTAGGGTTCACAATGTGGCCCCCCAGCTTGAGGAGGAGGAGGAGGAGGAAGAGGAGGAGGAAGAGGAGGAGGAAGAGGAGGAGGAGGGGCTCCTCCTTCTCTTGTATGGAACGGGGCCTGGGTCTGTGGCCGCCCGGCGCCGCCCGGCGCCGCCCTGCGCCGCCCGTGCTCGGTCACGACGCTGAGTGCGCGAGGCCTTGCGCTCTGCATTGCTTTGTGCACTGCTTCGCAGTGCTGCGCGCCATGCCGTGCGCTGCCTCGCACTGCTTCACGCTGCCCTGCACTGCTGGGCATCGCACCGAATCACAAATGCACTGGCTTGCGTTGCTTTGCACTGCCTTGTATTGCCTTGCATCGCGCTGCATTGCAGTCGCATTGCAGTCGCATTGCATTGCATTGCTTTGCGTTGCAATATCATTGTATCGCATTGCTTTACATTATTTGCATTGCATTGCATTGGTTTGCATTGCTTTGCATTGCGTTGCATTGCTTTGCATTGCTTTGCATTGCGATGCAGTGCGTTGCATTGCTTTGCATTGTTGTGCGCTGCGCTGCATTGAGTTACGTGTCTTTGCAGTGCTTTGCGCTGCTTTGTATTCGGTTGCCCTGATGTTCATTGCTGTGTATTGTACTCTGCATACTGAATTCCATTGCTGCGCATTGCCATGCATCGCTTCGCAACACACGGATTGCACCAGATTGCTTTGCACCACCTGGACTGCACCACAGTGCTTGCACCACCGAGACGACACCGCACGACTGGCAAAACCTCACCGCTTGGGGCTCACGCTGGCTCGCAGCTTATGCACATTTTCTTCGAACGGTCCCCACATGCGACAGACCGACCCCTTGCTCCGCACGACGGCCACGGAGCGCGAAAGCTCCGAGCGATGCCGCCCTGGGGCCGCTCGCGGCGCGCGCCCACGGCAGGCCACTTGGCCGCGACCCTCCACCTCCGACGACCTGATGTTTGTCAATGCTAACCAGCCTCGAACTTGTCCCTATCCCTAAGGTGGGCGAGGAAAAAGCGAGGACAATCTTTAGGGATGTGCTCTCAGAAACCGAGGGAGTCCTTAAGATCGGCATCGAGGCGAGGCGAGGCCAAACACAGGGATAGGGATACGTTTTAAACTGGTAAAGTGCGCTGCACCCAGGAGGCCCCGACACCCCCTCCTTTTTTTCCCGCGCCAGAGAACCCAAACTCCGTGAATCACCACGCGAGCGAGCAATCCGATGGCCTCCGGTGGCCCCGGCCCCCCCTCCTCTGGAGGCGGCCGTCGCCCGGGAGATCCGTGCGGACGGCCCCCGGGCCCGAGGTCGGCCACGCGCGAGAGGAGCCCCCCCAGGCAGGAGCGACCTCTTGATGCGCGGCTGCGGAGGGGGGGGACGAGGAGGACGGGGAGGAGGAGGAGGAGGAGGAGGAGGAGGAGGAGGAGGAGGAGGAGGAGGAGGAGGAGGAGGAGGGGAGGGAGGAGGGGAGGGGGAGGGGGGGAGGAGGAGAGAGGAGGAGGAGGAGGAGGAGGAGGAGGAGGAGGGAGGAGGGAGGAGGAGGAGGAGGAGGAGGAGGAGGAGGGAGGAGGAGGAGAGGAGGAGGGGAGGGGGCGCCGCGGGAGGGGGGGGGGGGGGGGGGGGGGGAAAGGGTCGGGCCAGGGCGCGCGCCGCGCTGCCGCCGCGGCGCCTCCCCGGCGAGCCGGGGGCCCCAGGGGGCCCGAAGCCACTCGGACGAAGAGTCGCTCTTGACGCACCGTCGACGCGAGCGGGCCTCGGGAGCGGCCAAGAGGGGGGTGTCCATGAGGGGGGGGTGCAAATCATGACCGGCGGCATGTGCGCGGCCCAGCGGGGGGGCCAGGGACGTAATGAAATAAGAAGAGGTGCCATAAAATCTGGGGAAATATCATGGCCCCCGCCATGATATCCACCCCCCCCCTAGTCATCACCCCCCCTCTTTGCCGCCCCCGAGGGCCCCAAGGGCCGAGAACGACCCGCAGACGCCGGGGCGAAAAAACGTGCCGTCGGAGATCGGGGACGGCGCGGGCCCTTCTTCGGCGCGAGGCCGCCGCCGACTGGCTGGAGAGAGGCATCGGCCGCCCGGCACTCCCGAGAGCGGGTGCGGCAGAAGGGGCACGGTGCCCAACAGCAGATGGGCGACGGAAAGGTGTTTTGTGTTTTGTTTTGTGATTTGTCGTATGTTTTTTTCTTTGTGTGTTTCTTGTGTGTTATTGTGCTGTTTGTATTTTGTTGTGTTTCTTTTGTTGTTGTTGTGTGTGTTTTTGTTTCCGGCGTAGCGACCTTAAGCGGTGGCCTGCGCGGGCCGCCGGCGTGCACGCCCACGTCGGTGCAGACCACCCCGCCCTGCTCCTTTGCTCAAGCGCTGTCGAGTGCCGACACGCGGCCGCGGCTGGGCAGGCGACATGTCGTACCAAGTGGACGACCTCCGCGGCGGCGCCGACAACGAGTCCTGCTCAAGGTGGGCAGCTAACTGCTGTTGCGCTGCGCCCCCACTCTTTCCGTACGGCGAGGGCGTTGGGTAAGGAACCCGTGGATGAAGAGTCCACTGTCTGGAAGAGGGTGGAACTCCAATCGTGAATCGACTATGGATATCACTGCCGCACGCATCACATAAAGAGTCCCCCAGGGTCTGAAGCCTCCTGGGCTGACTAACGCTCCCACCGCAGAGCAACCTGGACATGCGATGTCCTTCTTGTTCCATCACCGGGTCCCGTGAAGTCCTGACCCCTTCCCCGGGGCCGGCTGGCGCACAGATAGCACCCAGCCCTTCTCCCGAGACCCCCGAGGTCATGATTCGTTTCACTACAGTCGGACCTAGGACAGAAGAACACCCCTCAAGAACATGAGACCCTCCGTCGGCCAAAACAAACAGAACACCCAAGGGTACCCTCCCCAGGATACACAGGAGCATCCAACAAGCGCGAAGAACACAAGGGCACCCTCCCCGAACCGCACTCGATCTTATACCTCGGTCCGACTGTATGTCGAGCCCCCAAGGTCTCGACCCGTTACCCAGGACCAGCTTCTCATCCCGAGTCGAGCTTCGACGCTCCCAGGACTCGACGAGGGCCCCCATAAAAAGGCCGAAGACAACCAACAAGCCCCCGTCGTGATTGTTTTTTACGTCGCGTCCCGATATATTCGGGACGGCGGCCCCCCGTCCCCCAGGGCCACGTCCCTGAGGGCTCAATTCTTCAGCCCGAGTCGTGCTTGAAGGCGGATCGGGGGCCCGGGGAGGGCCCCCAGAGGCCGAGAATAACCAACAACCTCCCGCCGTGAATACTTGTACGTCGCGAGCATGTCCCACGACACTCGGTGCCTCGACATGTTCGAGACAGAGGCCCCCGTCCTCTCGACCCCCAGAAGTCTGGACCCCTTCCGCAGGACCAGTTTTTTATCCCGAGTCGTTTTTGTCCGATGGTCCCAGGAGGAGGAGGAGGAGGAAGAAGAAGAAGAAGAAGAATACCTCCATAAAAAGATGCAGGGAGGAGTATGAGGCGGAGGCGGGAGAGTGGGAGCAGGCGGAGACGGAGGCGGAGGAAGAGACCATCGAGGAGTTGGAAGATTCCTCGTTTTTCTGACTGCTGTCGCGCTTCGTCCGCGGCCCTCTCCCGGACGTTCTGACCAGGATTTCGAGGCGAATCCGGCCGTGGCAACGAGGACCTCCCCACTGCGGGGCAAGGGCAGCGGTATCGGAGGGGTCCCCCCCGACGGGGGTCAACGTCAACCTGTCCGCGCGACGTTTCTATTGATGGTCCTAGGGCCCAGCGAGGGCCCCCAGAGGCGGAGAACACGTCCACCCTGGGGGTCTAGCTACATTTAGGTCGGGCATGTCCTCCTACAGGACACAATACAAATAGTTAAAAAAGGCTACAAATCTCATCATAAATAATCCAAAAAATCGTCCCTGGACGATTGTTTGACTATCATTGAGCACTCCTCCTGTAGAGGGATATGCCCAACCAACCCTGGGGGTCCGGCTGCATCGGCCATGCCCAGTCCATCTTGACCCCTGCCCCCTGAGGGCCGGCCCCTCTCTCCCTTCCCTTGGCCGCTGCCTTGGGCGCTCGAGAAAGAGGAGGAGGAGGAGGAGGAGGAGGAGGAGGAGGAGGAGGAGGAGGAGGAGGAGGAGGAGGAGGAGGAGGAGGAGGAGGAGGAGGAGGGGAGGATGAGGAGAGGAGGAGGAGGAGGAGAGGAGGAGGAGGAGGAGGAGGAGGAGGAGGAGGAGGAGGAGGAGGAGGAGGAGGAGGAGGCAGGAGGAGGAGGAGGGAGGAGGAGGAGGAGGAGGAGGAGGAGGAGGAGGAGGAGGAGGAGGAGGAGGAGGAGGAGGAGGAGGGGGAGGGAGGAGGAAGGCGGAGGAGGAAGAGGAGGAGGAGAGGAGGAGGAGGAGGAGGAGGAGGAGGAGGAGGAGGAGGAGGGAGGAGGAGGAGGAGGAGGAGGAGGAGGAGGAGGAGGAGGAGGAGGAGGAGGAGGAGGAGGAGGAGGAGGAGGAGGGGAGGAGGAGGAGGAGGAGGAGGAGGAGAGGAGGAGGAGGAGGAGGAGGAGGAGGAGGAGGAGGAGGAGGAGGAGGAGGAGGAGAGCGAAGGAGGAGGAGGAGGAGGGGGGAGGAGGGCGGAGGAGGGCGGAGGAGGAGGAGGAGGAGGAGGAGGAGGGCGGAGGAGGAGGAGGCCGGAGGAGGAGGAGGCCAGAGGAGGAGGAGGAGGAGGAGGAGGAGGAGGCGGAGGAGGAGGGGGAGGAGGCCGCCCCTGCATACTCTTGACGGTGGCCCCAGAATCTCATGGGAGGTTCCAGGCATCCGGCGTCTCGATCTTTTGGAGACGCGGGCCCCAGACCTCTCGACCGCTTCCCTAGGACCAGTGTTGCGTCCCGAGCCGTTGTTTGACGGTCCCGAGGCCCGGCGAGGGCCCGAAAACGATGAAAACCCTCCGTCTCGAGGCGCCAGGTGTCAGGAGTCCTTTCCGAAGTGTTCGACGACTCTTCGTCGACCTTCGGGGATCAAGCCAAGCAATTAGATCAAGGTGAATAGAGGTGCATTCACACATATTAAGGGACGTCCAGATAAACCCAGATAAGTCCAGATATATCCAACAATACCATGGGCAGGTCGTGGATGCTCCAGCGTGAGTCGAGGCGTCAAGACCTTAATTCTGGGCCTGCCACATGGGGTCGGAGTAGAGGGGGCCGGAGGACCGCGCCGCGTCGGCGAAGCATCGGCCATGTGGCGCGATCCTCCGACCCCATCTACTCAGACCCAATGTTGTTCGACGCAGACAAACGGGATCGTCTTCTTCGACAGTAGCACGTGAGCTGCCCGCGTAAGGTCGCGCGCGAGCGCCCTCGTTCCCAGTGCGGCGTGCCACGGCACATCGGGAACGAGGGCGCTCACGCGCGACCTGGGGGCCCTGGGGGCCCTCGTCGGGCTCCAGGGCCGTCGACAAAAACGACTCGGGATATGAAAAACTGGCCCCGGGGAATGCGTCGAGACCTCTGGGGCTCGACGTGGTGAAGGAGGTCACGACGTCGGGGGGTCTGGGGAGAAGGGCTCCCGGGGGCTAGCTGTGCGCTAAACCTGAGCCTCCAGAGGCGGCCCGGATGGGGGGCCCGAGGGGGAGGAGGTCGGAGAATGCCGCCGCGTCGCCGATGCATCCGCGACGCATCGGTGACGCCAGGATTGAGAAAATCGGAGAGGAGGAGGACGAGGAGGAGGAGGAGGAGGAGGAGGAGGAGGAGGAGGAGGAGGAGGGGAGGGCGTCCAAGAGGGGGTTCCGCCACGCATGGCCCGAGGAGCGGGCGCGGACGAGGGGGGGGAGCAGCAGGGGGCGCGTCGGAGGAAGAGAAGGGGGTCCTGGAATCCAGGGAGATGTCATGGCCCTGGCCATGGTCTCCTCCTCCCGCTAGTCTTGTGGATGCCATGACAATGGACACTCGAACAGTCCTGTCATTGGGTAAAAATGTGTTTGGAATGTGTAAAGCATGTCCTACCAATGTTTCAAGCATGTTGCTTTGTTCGGCCGATTTGAAACATGTGTTAACATATTTAAGACATGTTTGCAACATCTTTTAGACATCTGGAAATTATTTGGCAGCATGCTCCCTCTCCATCAATCGACTTCCACAACGCTAGTCATCACCCCCCTCTTGGCCGCCCCCGAGTCGATGCACTGGCGATGCGGCGCTATCGCCCGCGCGGCCCCGTCCACTCGGAGCACGTGTGGGCGGCCTGGAGAGCCCCACCGGCCCGTGAGAGCACCGTCGGGTTGCACTGGAACTTCCGCATCGGGCCCTCGATCCGCTTGTAGAGGTGCCGGGCCCACGTGATGTGGCCGGCCACGGGCGGCATGTTGCGGACCAGGGGCGGCGCCGCCTTGAACTTCTCGTACTGGTCCTCGCGCGAGGGCAGGGTCGGCCAGGAGGGGCTGGATCGAGCGGGGGGTCTGAGCCCAACTGAGCGGGACGAGGCTGGATCTGGATTCAACCGGGCCATGCCGGACTAGTTAACAAGAGGATATGCCAGCGCCGGTGCTGACGTTGACCTCCCAGGAGCTGCAGCCTGGCAAGAGCTCGCAGATCGAGGGAGAGTACTGTTTGGGCGTTTGGGCATCTTAGTGGGCCCTGGAAACGACAGGGCCGTTTTTTTACCGGTTCCGTTTGGTTCCGTTTTGCCGTTTTTTTGGCCGGTTCCGACGCCGCTTTTTTACCGGTTCCGTCGCCGTTTTTTGACCAGTTCCGGCTCCGGTTCCAATCCTGGAGCCGTTTTTTTGCCGTTTCCGGTCGCCTTTTGTTGCCGTTTCCATTTTCAAGGGACATTTTTTTCGGAAACGGTGAAGAAACGGCCCTGCCGTTTCCGGGGCCCACACAGGGCAGGATCGGCCAGCATCGGATCGGGGAGTCGGTTCTCCTCGGGGCGTGCGTCGGACAGGGGCCGCCTCGGCGCGGAGGCGGAGGCGAGGCGGGTCGGCCACGCCCAGCATCGATATGTCTATGGAGGCGGAGTCGGATCGGATCGGAGCGGGCCATGGCGGGGGGGGGAAACCGGACATCCGGCGTGTCAAAAAAGAAAAAACCTTCGGTGGCAACTCATGGGAGCCTCCCACACCATCTTGCCAGCACCTGCGAATCGGCGCGAGTCGACGCGAGATCGACGCCAATCTCGACGCGAAATCGGTGCCAGTCGACGCGAGCCGACCCTGATTTGGCGCCATATCTCTCGTCGACTCCCAGACGCTGATCGACGCGAATCGGCGCTGAAGATACGATTACGAGGGTACTCCAGATTTCGTAATAAAAGGGAGGGGGTCTGGACCCTCCAAGACAAGCCATTTCAGACCTCCCCCGTGGAAGAACCCTCCAAAACATCGTCCCCAGACCCCCCCCAGGCCCTCCAAGATAGCTTGGAAAAGACCCCCCCCGAAATGAGACCCCCCTCCCTTTATTACGAAATCTGGAGTACACAAGGCGCCCACTATTTGCTACCGAAGAAGATGGCAGCTTTGTGTCAGAGCTCTTTAGCTCTGTGCTTGCTGTGCTCATTTCTGTGTGAGTTGCTTTCGTCTCGATTCTTGGCCCTCGCCGACCAGCCATAACTGGGGGAGCTGTGGTCCTTACCCCCCTGGGGGAACCCATCGCGTCGACGATCTCTCGAGCGGGGTGTCGAAATCGATGGGTCCCCCAGGGGTGTAAGGACCACAGCTCCCCCAGTTGTGGCTGGCCTGCCTCGGAGGCCCGCTGCGGGCCCCGGGGCAACCAATACAGGATGGACCTGGACGAAAGGCATGTTCGAAGGGGCCCAGGGACACGCAAACAAACAGACACAGATCCCAGGATCCCCCAGACTGCCCAGCATCTTCTGGCTGTTCGTGTCCCCCCCCCACTTCCCATGGCTTCCTTCCTCTCCTGGGCATCGACAACTCGTTGTGCCTGTGCTTTCTTCTCCTCCGGACTGTTCCAGGAAAGGGCTGACAGCTCCACACGAGTCGCACACCCACCTGCACGGTGGCCCCTGAGCGGGCGGCGCGCTCACGCTTCGGAGCTGCCGCTTGGCGTGTCGCGGCACCGGCCTGGGCGACGTGCGAAGTGTGCCCCGCGAGCCGATGCCGTGTCGCTGCGCCTCACGGGGCGGGCGGCTGGGAGGAGGGGGAGGAGGGGGAGGAGGGGGAGGGGGAGGAGGGGGGGAGGGGAGGAGGGGGAGGAGGGGGAGGAGGGGGAGGAGGAGGAGGAGGAGGAGGAGGAGGAGGAGGAGGAGGGGAGGAGGAGGAGGGAGGAGGAGAGCTCGGAACGCTGAAGCTTGGAAATGGGGGCGGTCAGCGTGCCGCGCCGAAGCGTGGTGGGCCAGAACCAGCGGAGCGACACGCAAGCAGAAGGTCCTGACCATATGATATATATATATATATATATATATATATATATATATATATATATATATATATATATCGCCCCCGTGAAGTTCAAACTGCCCAGGGGCGATCCTGGCATTTCGGTCTTGCATCTAATCCGGACGACCTCATCTTCCTCCTCGTCATCACTTCCCTGCTCCACCTCTCACTACTCCTCCGCCTCTTCCTCCTCCACCGCCACCTATCTATCCTCCTCATGCACGCATCTCTCTACAGTCATCGCCACCACCACCAACAACACGGCCATTGATGCTCTTCTCAAGCTGTGTACATGCCCTACTGCCTGTTAACCTCGCCAGTCCCACCAAGCGCTGGGGAAACACTTTAGCATTGGATTGCGACGCTTCCGGCTCCAATACCTCCCGAGCGCACAACTTCCGCTGTCCACCTCGTTGGCCATGTTGTTATTTGCCAGTTTCTGCAACAATGCGGTTGCATGGAATGGCATGATGCCACTTTCACGTGCTACGGGGCAGTAGCGGCAATAGCGCATCGATGGCAAAGACGACGTGGATTGATGAGGCTGGCGCAGTGGTGGTGGTGGTGAAGATGAAATGGCACAGCGCTGGTGAAGACTGACCTTGAGTTGAAAACATGCCCCTTCATGAGCGCATTGACAACATCCCATCAAAAATGAACTGTTTAAATATGTGTGTGCGCCTGGGGTCATATCATCGTGTGCTTGGACCGTAATCCGACTGGACATTATGTATGCAATCCGTGTTAGATGGCCCTTCGTCAATTAGCTGTTATGCTTATGAACTCCCGGAAGCATCCGAACACCCAAGAAATCCCCTCGAACACCCTTGAGCCCGAACCCCCTTGAGCCTTCCCCCTCCCCCATCCACCCCATTCTCTCCATCGTGATCCTCCTCCTCTGTCGTCATCCTCCCTCGTCCTCCTCCTCCTCCTCCTCAACCTCCTCCTCCTCCTTGACATCTCTCCTTTCTCCTCCTCCCCCTCTAACTCTTACTTAACATCAGCATGATCATCATGATCACGAAGATCATCCTCTTCATCATCAGCAGCATCACCATAAGCAGCATAATCATCGTCATCAGCAGCATGGTAATAATAATCATCAGCATCATCGTCATCAGCTGCAGCATCCGCATCATAACCAGCATCAGCATCAGCATCATAACATTCATCAGTATCATCATCACAATCGTCATCATCATCAGCATCAGCATCGTCATCGTCATCGTCATCGTCAGCATCATCATCATCATCATCATCATCATCATCATGATCATCATCATCATCACCATCATCATCATCATCATCATCGTCGACTTCATCATCATCATCATCATCATCATCATCATCATCATCATCATCATCGTCGCCATCGTCGTCATCATCGGCATCATCGGCATCAGCAGCAGCATCGATATCAGCATCAGCAACAGCAGCACCATCAACATCGTCGTCGCCGCCGCCGTCATCATCAGCATCAGCGGCGGCATCAGTATCACCACCACCACCACCATCATCATCATATGCATCAGCATCGTCGTCATCATCAGCAACAGCAGCATCATGTGCATCATCGCCATCATCATAGTCATCACCATGCATTACCATCAACGTCATCATCGTCATTAACATCGCCATCATCATCATCATCATCATCATCATCATCATCATCATCATCATCATCATCATCATCATCATAAGCATCATCAGCATCATCAGCAGCATCATCATCATCCCCGCCCTCGTTCTCATCTTCATCCTCACCTGGGAACCGCCATGATCCTCCGCCCCCCCTCTTCCATTATCGTCCCTCCTCCTCCATCATTCACATCCACCCACTCTTCCTCCTCATCATCCCTCCCTATCTCTCTCACTCTCCCTCTTTCCTTCTTTCTCTCTCCTTATCTCTCTTTCTCTCTCTCTCTCTCTCGCTCTCTTTCTCTCGTTCTCTCTTTCTCTCTCTTTTTCTCTCTCTCTCTCTCACTCTCTCTTTTTCTCGCTCTCAACAAATACTCACATATATATATATATATATATATATATGTATGTGTATGTATAAATGTATGTATGTATGTATCGGAAATTGGGGGGTGAGATCGAAGTGGAACGGAAAGCCCCCCCACCGGAAAATCGGTTTCGGTTTCGGGTTCGTGTCGCGCGTGCGGGAGAGGCGAAGCTGCGTGGGCGGGCGCGAGGGATGACTCCGCTATAGCTAGGGCGGGTCAAGACAAAAGACCTTCCCTCCAGTGGGCCGACGTGGCCAGGGGTGTCCCGCCGTTGCGTCCAGTCCGTGTCCCTTCGGTGTCCGCGGGCGGTGGCCAGGGGTTGTCCCGCCGTGGTGTCCCTTGGGTGTGCCCTCGGTGTCCCGTCGATGTCCCGTCGGTGTCCCGTCGGCACCCCGTCGGTGTTCAGTCGGTGTCCCGTCGGTGTCTCGTAGGCGTCCCGTCGGTGTCCCATCAGTGTCCCGTCGGTGTCCCGTGGTGTCCCGTCGGTGTCCCGCCGTCGGTGTCCCGTCGGTGTCCCGTCGCTGTCCAGTCGGTGTCCCATCGGTGTCCCGTCGGTGTCCCCCCGTCGGTGTCCCGTCGGTGTCCAGTCGGTGTCCCGTTGGTGTCCCGATTGGTGCCCCGATTGGTGCCCTCGGTGTCCCAAATCATCGTACTTGTCCTCGGCTGGTTCTTCCCCCCCCCACCCTCCTTATCACCTGAAGGGTGGTCGTATAGGTAGGTGTATATGTCTATATATATATATATATATATATATATATATATATATATACATACATACATACATACATACATACATACATACATACAGACGTTTATATATATATATATATATATAGGAGGTGAGGGGTGAGATCGAAGTGGAACGGAGAGCCCCCCTACCGGGAAATCGATTTCGGTTTCGTGTTCGTGCGTGCCGTGCGGGCGGGCGAGGCGAAGCTGCGTGGGCGGGCGAGAAAAAGTCTCCTGTGGCTGAGGCGCGGCCGGACCAAATGTCTCCCTTCCGGGCGGCCGGTGGCCCGCGGTGTCCCGCCGGTGTCCCGACAAAGTCCCGTGTGGCTGAGGCGCGGCCGGACCAAATGATTCCCTTCCGGGCGGCTGGTGGCCCGCGGTGTCCCGCCGGTGTCCCGCGGTGTCCCGCGGTGTCCCGCGGTGTCCCCCGGTGTCCCGCCGGTGTCCCGCGGTGTCCCGCGAGGATGATGATGATGATGATGATGATGATGATGATGATGATGAGATGATGATGATGATGATGATGAGGTGATGATGATGGTGTCCCGATGAAGATGATGATGTTGATGATGGTGTCGATGATGATGATGATAGTGTCCCGATGATGAGGATGATGATGCTCATGATGATTATGTTGATGATGATGACAATGATGGTGTCCCGATGATGGTGATGATGATGATGATGATGATGATTCCGATGATGTTGGTGATGATGATGTTGATGGAAATGGTGTCCAGGCGGGAATGATATTGATGATGATGATGATGTTGACGATGATTATGGTGTCCCGATGATGATGCTGATGATGATGATGATGGTGATGATGATGGTGATGCTGATGGTGTCCCGATGATGATAATAATGATAACGACGATGTTGATGATGATGTTGCTCATGATGATGATGGTGCCCCAATGATGATGATGTTGTTGATGATAATGATGTCGATGATGATGATGATGCGATGATCCTGATGATGATGGTGTCCCGAGGATGATGGCGATGTTGATGATGATGTTGATGATGAGAACGATGATCATGATGGTGTCCCGATTATGATGATGATTATGATGATGCTGCTGATGATGATGACGACGACTGTGTCCCAATGATGATGATGATGTTGATGAAGAGATGATGATGGTGATGATGATGATGTTGTCCCGATGATGATGCTGACGTTGATGATGATGTTTATGATGATGATGCTGACGGTGCTCTCATGATGATGACGATGTTGGTGATGATGTTGATGTTGATGATGTTGATGATGATGATGATGATGACGTTGATTGTGAGAGCGATTGTGATATCGATAGTGAGATCGATATTGAGACCGAATGTGAGATCGATTGTGTGATCGATTGTGAGATCGATTGTGAGATCAATTGTGAGATCGATCGAATGAGATAGATCGAGTGAGATCGCTTGTGAGATCGATCGAGTGAGATCGATCGAGCGAGACCGATAGTGAGATCGATACTGAGATCGATAGTGAGACCGATCGAGTGAGCCGTTGATTCCCCCCCCCCCCGAACCTCCTTATCACCCGAAGGGTGGTCGTATAGGTATATACATATATATATACATATAGGAGGCGAGGTGGTGACACCTCAGTGATACGGAGAGCCCCCCACTGGGAAATCGGCTTCGGCTTGGTCATCGTATCGTGCGTACGGGCGATGCGAAGCTGCACGGGCGGGCGAGAAGAACGAACCTTCCTCTGGCCAGGGCGCCGCCGGGGCAGCAGTCCGCCCGGGTGCCCCGGATGTCCCGCCGCGGTGTCCCTGGGGTGTCCCGCGGTGTCCCGCGGTGGCCCGCGGTGTCCCGTGGCGCGGTGTCCCGTGGTGTCCCGTGGTGCCCCGTGAGGTCGATAGTGAGATCGATAGTACAATCGACAGTGAGATCGATGGTGAGATTCCGCGTGACATCGTGGGATCGATTGTGAGATCGAGTGTGAGGTCGATAGCGGGATCAGCTGTGACGTCTAAAAGTAGGATCGGTAGCGATATCGATTGTGAAATCGATTGTGAGATCGATAGTGAGACCGATTGTGAGATCGATTGTACGACTGATAATGAGATCGATTGTGAGATCGATAGTGAGATCGACTGTGAGATCGACAGTGGGATCGATCAAGTGGGATCGACTATGGTATCGATACTGAGACCGATTGTGAGATCGATTGTGAGACTGATAATGAGATCGATGTTGAGATCAATAGTGAGATCGGCAGTGGGATCGATCGAGTGAGATCGATTGTGAGATTGGTAGTGAGACCGATAGCGAGATCGATCGAGTGAGACGTTGCTTCCTCCCTCCCCCAGACCTCCGAAGGGTGGTCGCATAGGCGTCCCGTGGTCCAGTGGCATCCCGATGATCGCTTGTGAGGTCGATTGTGAGATCGTTAGTGCGATCGATAGACAAACAGATGGTGTGGTCGAATGTGACAGATAGACAGATATATAGTGAGATCGATAGATAGAGAGGGATCAATGGACATGCCGATTGGTAGACAGAGACTGATATCGATAGACAATTGGCCAAACGAGTGCTCCGTGGTGCTCAACTGGTTTCCGCCGAATCCGATCCGACCTCAATCGCACACCGAAAGCTGAACTCCCCCCCACACACACACAACTTCCTTATCACCCGAACAGTGGCTGTATAGGTATATTCGTATCGTTGGCTCTCTCACTCTCTCTCTCTCTCTCGCTCTTCCTCTCTCTCTGTTTCTCTCTATATATATATATATATATATATATATATATATATGTCCACGACCCTCCCTCCCACATCGTCCTATCCCTCTCTCCTTCTTCTCTCCCTCCCCCCGTCTCCTCCTCCTGCTCCGTCCCCTCCTCCTCACCATCATCATCCGAGACTCCTGGAAAGCACCGGACACATCCCCACAACACCCTAGAACCTCCCGATCCCTCCTCCATGCTCCACGCATCCTCCTCCTCCTTGAGTTCCTCCCTGCCTCTCTCCATCCCTCCCTCCCTCCCTCCCTCTCCCTCCTCCACCGCCGCCTCCTCCGAGGGCAGTGGAGCGCTGTGGCGCCCGCGTCCTGGACCTGCGTTAGCTCCAGGCCGTAGTTGTGGAAGATCACCGCGAACTTCGACTCCAGGTCGGCCACCTAGGGGGGGGGGAGGAGCAAAGGCGGGAGGAGCAGGGAAAGGCGGGGGAGGGAGGCGGCGGAGCAGAAAGGAGGGAGGAGGAGGAGGAGGAGGAGGAGGAGGAAGCAGAAGAGGGAGGAAAAGGAGGAAGAAGAGGAGGAGGTGGAAAAGGAGGAGGGGGAGGAGGAGGATTGAAGAAGAGGACGGAGATGAAGAGGAGGAGGAGGAGGAAGAAGACAAGGAGGAGGAGGAGGAGGAAAACGAGGAGGAGGAGGATCGGAGGTTGGGGGGTAGGATCGCAATGGAAGGGAAAGCCCCCCATTGGGAAATCGGTGTCGGTGTCGTGTTCGTGTCGTGCGTGCGGGCGAAAAGAAGCTGCGTGGGCGCGCGAAATGAATCACCCCGCCGTCGCTAGGGCGATTCGCATGCAATGGACCGCCCTTCCGCCCCCAGTGGGCGCGAGGTGGCCCAGGGTGTCACGCCGTGGTGGTGTCCCGTTGGTGTCCCATCGGTGTTCCGTGGGTATTCCGTCGGCGGTGGGCGGGCGGTGGCTGGGGGTGTCCCACCTTGGTATCGATAGTGAAGGCGATCGTGAGATCGATGATGGGCGGATACTGGGATCAAAGGTGAGATCGCCAGCGAGGTTGATTGTGACACGGGTTGTGACATCAATAGTGGGATCGATAGCGAGATCGGTAGAGGATCGATCGTGCGAGCGATAGTGAGATCGATAGTGAGATCGACAGCGAGCTATAGAATGAGATATATAGCGAGACCGGTAGTGGAATACATATATATAAATATATATATATGTATATGTATTGAAATCGATGGAGTGTGATCGATCCTGTGAGGCCGATAGTTGGATCGATCGACTGAGATCGAAAGTGTAGACGATACCGACATTGCATGGCAGCGCAACATCAACATCATCATGATCATGATCACCATCATCATCGTTATCATCATCATCATCATCATCATCATCATCATCATCATCATCATCATCATCAGCATCATAATCACGAGTCGCTGCCGTCCGGGGGAAGCGAAAAACGAGGCAGGAGGGACGAGGAGGTGGAGGATGACGGACCACTGAGAAGGAGGAGGACAAGAAAAAAAAACAGGAGGGAAAGGCAGGAGGAAGGGACACAGAGAGAGAGGGAGGGAGGAGGGCGGAGGAGAAGGAAAGGAGGCGGACGAAAAGAAGGAGGACAGTGCGAGCACAAGAAGCATCAGCCATGTTGCAATAAACCCTCCCCCAAATCTCCTCTTCATAAGTCCCTGCAAAACTCGTTTCTCATTGCGGGAAATGCCAAAGTTGGACAACAACCGTCTCAGAATCCCAAATCGCACCACAGCAGCACTCCTGGAACTTCAAGCCTGCGAATCAACGTGGCCGTTGCGTCCTGACCTAAATCGTGCCAAAACATCATATATGGGACTTGAACCATGCGGATCCTTGAAACGACTGCAAACTCTTACGACGAACACGCGCGGCGCTACGGCGAGAGCCACAGGTTGAAAAGGAAACGCCGCCCATCTTTGAAACTGCTGCAAACTGCCGGAACGAATGCGCGCGGCGCTAGGGCGAAAACCACATTTTGAAAACGGACCACCCTTCATCCGTGAAGCTGCTGCAAACGTTTACCACGAACGCACGCGGCGCTAAGGCGAGGGCCTAATCTTTACACGCGCCGCCCTTCTTTTCGTTCACACTTCGGCTCGAGTCCATGGACTGCCTGTGCTATACTTCTCCGGAGACGGATCGGCGACGCTGCGTGCTATGCGAGACAGTTGGAGGCACAAGGGGGGGAGGCGAGGGCAGGCAAAGGGGGGATGGGGGAGGAAGAGAAGTTCAGAAGAGCTCTCAGACCCGTGTCTAACGCGACGACCTCGGCCTCGAAGGCGCTCTTACAGGGTTGGAGGCACGCGCCCCCCGTAGCCCGGACGGCACTGCCTGCCGTCCTCACTCATGTCCAGGAGGGCGCATGCACAGGCTCCGCTGCCAGCGGGGAACCCGCCGTCGCAGCCGAACATCCGACGTGATGGGCTGCTTTGGACAGACGAGACTCCTGCCAGGACCACGACGCCTTACACTCGAGGACGTCGTTTGCAATGTGGTCGGCTACGTTGTTGTACGGCGCGGCTGCCACTGCACAATGCTGGCTGCCGTGGGTTGTGCCTCCCAACCCCGTGCTGAGAGAGCAGCCAGGTTGCGGAGAATATGTACAAAAGCCGGGCGGTATGAGTCATCTGTCAGCACCGCGCGTCCGTTGACCAAATCGGCAACAGTTGGGTTATCGACCCGGATCATGATTCGTCGCCCACCGCGGTCCCAATGTCCATCAGCAGGGTGCCGGAGTAACGAGGGGATGTTGACCATCGCGTGGGCAAGGCGATCTTCCCCTCGCCACTCTTTACTGGAACCAGCGGGGAAGAATGGTTGGGGTAGATGCCAAGCTGCGCACAAAGTCTCCACGAACTTCCTGATGCATCTCATCCAGTCATTGCGGGTCT